GGACTGTAAGCTGAGGTTTGGCGTACGGTACACCAAAATAAAAATATTCCGCCCAACAGGCAATGATGATGATGGCAAGGAGTTAGAGGATGCTAACAAAATGCTTGACGGTATGAAGCTTCAGGAAGAAGCTTCAGAAACCTCGTAAGCCTGCACGAATGCTGAAAGTAGCACAAATTAACCTTCAGCATTCGAAAATCGCATCGGACAATCTCGCCATCTTTCTCATAGAGGAGGATGTCGATGTCAGCATTGTGCAAGAGCCATGGGTCAGAGGTAAGGACATCATGGGGCTAATGCTGAAAAATTATAACAATTTATATATTAGGAACAATGGTAAGCCAAGATCATGTATCCTAGTAAAAAAATGTATTAATGCCTTTTTATGTCCACAGTATAGCGATAAAGATCTAACAGTCGTAAGGATCGAAATGCCAGGTGGACAAAATTTTATTGTGGCTTCTGCTTACATGGCACATGATAGAGATGCTCCTCCGGAAGAGGTAGTCGCGCTAGTAAACAGAAGTACATCAAAAGATATTCCCACGTTAATTGGATGTGACGCCAATGCGCGGCATACGCTTTGGGGCAGTTCGGAAACCAATGACAGGGGTGAGTACCTTTTTGATTTTATTAGCAATTCGAACCTTTTAATTTGCAACAGAGGTAAAACACCTACTTTCACTTTCCCCAGTTCACAAGGGTTTGAAGGATGGGAAGAAGTGCTAGATATAACACTCCTATCCGAAAATCCAGATATTGTAGTTAGTAATTGGAAGGTATCTGACAAGAAATCCTTTTCGGATCATAGTTGGATTCTCTTCAACTTAAACATTAAACCAAATCATACCATCCCCTTTAGAAACCCGAAGAAGATAAAATGGGATATTTTTACAAGGGTAACTAAGGTGGAACTTAATAAAGTAAGACAAACTAAGATAGACTCTACTAGTAAGTTAGACGAGAGGATATATAATCTTGAGGCAGCTTTTAATATAGCTTACAAGAAATCTTGTCCAACAAGTAGAAGCAAAAAATCTTTTCCACCTTGGTGGAATTCAGAATTAAGTGATCTCAGGCAGAGAACACGAAAACAGTTTAACGAAAGCTATAAGGACAATAGTTGGCATGAATATAGGGAATGCCTTAAAGCTTACAAGAAAGCTATCAGGAAGGCCAAAAGTAATGGCTGGAAGGAATTTTGTAAGTCAATTGAATCAACCTCATCCTCTGCTAGGCTCAGCAAGGTTTTATCCAAGGAAAGTGCAAATCCTTCTTATCTCAAGAAAGAGGACGGCACATGGACTGAAACCTCTGCTGAGACACTAAGATTACTATTAGACACTTATTTCCCAAACTGTAACGATGATGCTAGAGAAAACGGTTCAATCACCTTGGCAAGCACATCATCACAGATGACTGAAGAAATAGTCACAGCGGAAAAAATTAGGTATTCAATTAACAGTTTCTGTCCTTATAAATCGCCAGGTCTGGACGGTATTTTCCCTATTATGTTGCAAAAACTACAAGACTTAGTGGTTCCATGGTTAGGGGAAATTTACAAAGCATGTCTTAAATATAGTTATGTACCACTTAGTTGGAGACAGGTTAAAGTAGTCTTTATACCCAAGGCAGGCAAAATCGGACATGAGTCCGCCAAAGATTACAGGCCGATTAGCCTAACTTCATTCTTACTAAAAACAATGGAGAGGGTAATAGAGCTCTACCTAAGACAAAAGGTAGAACGCTTTCCAATCTCTAAATCCCAGCATGCTTACCTCAAGGGTAGATCTACGGAAACAGCTCTACATGAGGTTATTCGTACTGTGGAAAAATCGATTCATTTTAAGCAATACTCGTTGGCAACCTTCTTAGATATTGAAGGAGCTTTTAACAATGTAAGCAATAAAGCTATTCATGACTCACTTTCCAGAATAGGTTTAGAGGAAGAGCTTAAAAATTGGATAATTACTATGCTTAAAACAAGGATTATTCAATCAAAGCTAGGCAGCATAACACAAACGAAGCACGTCAGCAGGGGTACGCCACAAGGAGGGGTTATTTCACCATTACTGTGGCTGCTGGTCGTGGATAATATTCTTAATATTCTAGATAAGATAGGTGTGAAAGCAGTAGCGTACGCGGATGACGTGGTTATTCTAGTATCAGGTATGTTCCCTAACATAATTAGCGACATTATGGAAAGGGCCTTAGTTAAGATAAATACCTGGGCCACAGGTTGTGGACTAGGTATTAACCCAGGAAAAACTGAAATGATGCTGTTTACTACTAAAACCAAAATACCAGCTTTCAGGTTGCCTTCACTAAACGGGCAACAGTTAAAACTATCGGAAAAAGCCAAATATCTAGGAATTCTGTTGGATAGTAAGTTAAACTGGAAACACAATGTCGATCTTCGTATCAAGAAGGCATGTGTAGCGTTCTATTCTTGCAAGAGGATGTTTGGCAAAAAATGGGGGATTCGTCCCGAAATTACCCACTGGATGTACACGGCAGGCAATTTGTTACGACCTAATTCCAACATATGTTGCTGCGTAGGGTGCCGGCCTCTACAAGAGCTATATATCCGACAAACTTAACAGAATTCACAGACGGCATGTGTAGGCATCACAGGAGCTTTTAGGACGACTCCTTCGGACGCCCTAAACGTGATGCTGCATTTGCTACCTATTGATCTTCACATTAAAAACATGGTTTGTAATAGCGCTGTAAGACTGAAAGTAACAGGCGTATGGTTAGAACGAACATATGGACATAGTCGGATTCTAAGTACAGTTCCAAATTGTCTGTATAGGATGACATCGGATTATCTGAATCCGTGTATAGACTTCGAAAGGAACTTTCAGACAATATTCCATTCAAGAAATGAGTGGAAAAGGAAAAATTTCGAATCAAATTACAATATCTCAATATATACAGATGGCTCGAAAATGAGCTGTGGGGCAGGAGCAGGAATCTTCGCACCATCTAAAAATATAAATATCTCTCTTAGGATACCTAATGAAGCTACGGTTTTTCAGGCTGAAATCCTAGCAATAAAAGAAGCCTGTCGGCAAATTGCAAGCCACATAGAGAACAGATGTAGTGTTGCTATTTTTATTGACAGCCAGGCAGCAATTAAAGCTCTTGAATCCTTTATAACAAAATCAAAAATAGTAAAAGAATGTAGAGAAGCAATCGACGAGCTAAACCGGTTGGCCGATATCACACTCATCTGGGTTCCTGGGCATAGGAACATCGTAGGGAATGAGAAAGCTGATAGTTTAGCCCGCTCTGGTGCCTCCCTAGATGCGTCACTGGCGGTATCAGTCTATATTACCCTGGAGACCATCAAAAGAAGTACCTTTCTTTACTTTCTGCAACTCGCCAATAACAGATGGAAAGCACTAAGGTCATGTGCAACTTCCAGGTTAACGTGGCCCACTTATAATAAAAATAAATCTCTGGAACTCATCAAAAAAGATCGCGTAAACACTGCAAGGCTTATTGCGGTTCTTACCGGTCATTGGTGGTTAGGAACTCACGCAGAGAAACTGCGTATTCCCCATAACTCTCACTGCAGAAGTTGTGGAAACCCGCGGGAGAAAGAAACAATAATACATTTTCTCTGTGAATGCCCAGCTCTAGCATCCAGAAGATATAGGTTCTTTGGAAAATACTTTTGTGATAGTTTATCAGACTGCTCAATGGTAAGGATGAAAGACCTGTTAAATTACCTAAATTCGGTGGGATGGATTTAGTCTCTACTCTTCTATACTAGGGTTCTTGCGAGGAATGTGGTAACAAAACGGCGAAAAATCGCTAATTGAGGTACATTTGAAGTTATCTTATGACCTGCCACTGCAACCAACCAACCAACCATGACGTGGACTAGTTTGGATATGTTTGGCACCAATGAGTTTAGCCAGTTCATTGAACAGTGCTGATTCAAACTGTCTTACTTGATATGTTATGATCTGCCTCGGGACGCCAAAGTGCATGATCCAACCATTGATGAACGCTGTGGCCACCGTGCTGGCATGTATATCCTCGATAGGGACTACTGCTGGCCATCTGGTAACCCGATCGATACATGTAAGGCAATATCAGTAACCGTTTGACGATGGTAGAGGCCCAATGAGATCAATGTGAATTACAGCGAGCCGCTCACTTGGAATGTCAAAATTCAAAGTCGCTGATCTGTTATGTTGCGTGACTTTTGCTCGTTGGTACGGAAGACATAATATAATTCGCTCCGCAATGTCTTTAGCCATGCCTGGCCATACGAAACGTTCTGCTATTTACTTAATATTGGCTCGCCGACCAGCATGTGCCAAATTATGTATTGAATTGAAGACGCGTTGTCTGAACTGTTCAATTACAAAAGGACGAACACGATTTGATGACACATCGCATGCAACTTCCTTAGATGAATTTGAAATGACTATCCATTTCAATTGAAGAGCAGATTTATTCCTATTAGACAGAAAACCATTCGTTTCAATGTCGGTTTTCTGGCTTGCTGCTAATTGGACAAGGTCAACTAGATCTTCATTGCTGACAGCTTCAATACATGACAGAAAATCGGCTACCGAATTATTCTTGCCAAATATATGTATAAAGTCAGTTGTGAATTGACCGATGTAATCTAAATGTCTCAGCTGGCGTGGCGATGCCTTTTCCGGTTTCTGTCGAAATGCATACGTTATCGGCTTATGATCGGTGAAAATAGTGCAACGTCTACCTTCAATCGCATGTTTAAAATATTTATCCGATTGATAAATCACGGACTTAACTTGGGTGTTCGTCAACCGCTTTGAGTTATACCCCAAAGACTCGAGATCTCTGCCGCTTTTTGAATAAAACGACGATAAAAATTGATAATTGCAATGAA